CTAAATTCAAGCAAAAAGTGAGCATTCCACCTTTGCAGTACAGATGAGTTCAGCTTTAAAGTGATTAATGTGAACTTTAACTTCTGGCATTAAAACTTAAATGTCTGGCACTAATACAATACAAATCAGATATCGCTGAACAAAAAAAGCGGGTGAAACGAGGTTGTGGACTACAGATCCAGTATTTCCATGCAAAAACAGGGTTATGCAATCACAAAGCAGAGTAAACAGCCAGTGAGCCAACAGGAGGTTACAGTTTATTTTAGTTGGATGTGTCCCAGTAACAGTTAATATACTAAGAATTTATCCCAGGCACAGAAGGATTGTACAGCGCATTGCTATAAAAGCTGTTCACTATGACTATTTTCTCCTACCTCCTGACAAGGATTGACTTATTATTGTATGTAACGACATTTATTGTATTATTTCTATACTGGATCAATGGATCCTTATATATATATATATATATATGCACACTATATACACATTTTATATTATACAATACTATAATACTATACTATACCATACATAGCAGGAAACGCATATTATATCATCCAGCTTGAATCGTATGAATACACATTCTTTAACATCATTTCACTTTTGGGAAGCATGTGATCACCTTACTTGAAGTCTGTAAATAAGCATGTACAGCCACATTGGAGGAAGCTGTTGATCACTGTTCATACCTTTTATATTTCTACAGAGTTTGTCACTGTAAAAAATAGCATTATGTTCTGGGTATGCATTGTGGAAAGGACACACAGCTAGTGCTTCTCCATAGACTTACATGAGCTACCTGCACTCTTCTTCCCGTAGCTACGGGTGCATCAAAAAATAGCCTCACCTAGTATTATGCAGGAAAAAGCTGTCAGCTTTAAGTCTGAAGCTGGCAGCTTTTTCTCCATTCAGATCGGCTTGTTACAGGTTAGACAGCAGGGAAAGCCTCCCCTCTGTGTAACCTGTCATGGACTTTTGACAGGTAGTTAGATTACACAGCAGCGGGCTTCCCCACTGCTTGTGTAACCTAACTTGGTGGGGCAAGAGCTGTCACCGCCTCTACTCTGTGTTAGAGGCGTGAGCTCTGTGGAATGCTTGGACCAATAGCAAAGCTTTTAAAAAAAAAAAAACAGTAAGGACATCGATCTCGATGCCTCACCAGTGACTCACCAGTGAGGGACAGGGAGGCTCCTCCCTGTCTCCCCACTTCCTCCTCCTCCTCACACAGCTTGGTTACTGAGCTGGGGGTGGGGCTTCCGTGGGATGGGGCAGAGCTTTGGTAGGACGGGGGCAGAGTTTATGCAGGATGGGGCGGAGCTTCAGCGGGCTGGAGGATGCCTCACCCAGCACAGAAGGCACGGCACATCACTGCCCTTCACATTGTATGGAGCAACATGCCATGTGTGAATGGGGCCTTAAGAAATACTTGCATATTTAAAAGCAATATTTAAAAGATAAATGCCTCTTAAGTTTCTTACTGCGGAGCAAAAACCAAAATCCCAACATTGACCTCAGATCACACCTTCAACTGATTCTTACAGCAGTGGCCTATCCACCACCAGGAAGGGTTTACAACTTCTGCAGGACAGGGCCTCACATGATAATACTAGTATGTGCTGTCACAATAAGAATTGATGGCACTTATCTTCTTGCAGAAGGCATATATTCTAACATTTCCCATTCCTGGGCAGGTTGCAGCATCAAAAGTTGCTAATGCAAAATCATCTTGCATTCCTTAGTTAAACAAACTAACTAACTAGTTTCTTTTACTTACAATTACTGTTTTTACACTTCCTGGGTGAGTGAGGCACTGGTTATGTTGCCCTGGCATTACATCCTGGGAAGCCTATATAACCAGAGCCCTCTAGGAAATCTCATCTGTAAACTTCAAAACCTTACAAGATCTCAGGGGTTAGACTTAATTTCTGAGATGATGTACACTGTCACATGTTCCAAAGGGCAGTTCCAGAGTTCCAGGAAGTAAATAGAGATGGCTTCTTTTGCCCCTATGAAAATGGCCACAGTGAGAAGAATAGGGAGAGAAAAAAAAGCCAGCAATTATCTATAAGTATCTGTTTGTAGATTGTCATTATTAAGGATTTCCAAAGGTGCCTTGGTTATAATTTTTAAGATAAGGGTGAAGTTGCTCTTTAAATTTACACATAAGCTTTCAACTAAAATTGATTCAAAACTAGTTTACATTTAAAGTACATGGAAACCATAAGTGCTATATCATAACTGCCATTCTCTCACTGGCAACAACTCAACAGTATGGATGAATCTGCCCAGGTTTGATTAACCAAGGGTTCAGCAAATCTTGTTCAAAATGCAGGGACCGTGAAATTAGAGGCAAATTTAGTTGCTTCTAACAGACTCCTCCTGTCTATGGGGGCTGAATTTGGTAAAATTCTAGCAATGTTTAGGGCTAATAGTCAAACCTCTGTACAAAAAAAAAAGGCATGGGAAACTCAGTACTACTAAGGGAGATATGTGCCAATGCAAAACATGTTTTTTTTTTAAATACCATAAAACAGGGAGAGGGCAACAGTTAAAATACACAAAGTATTTACATGAATTAAATTAATTTTTAAATGTATTTATTCAGATTAAATTTACATGCTTGGGAGATGCTGTTTGGTTGATTCATTACTTTTACAGTTAGCTTGACTTACACACAGCAACAGCAACCCGATCTGATTTATTTTAGCCAGGAAAAAAAGTATTTTTTTCAGGTAGTTTTAGCAGCGACACATGCTTTTTTATCAAATGGTATAAGGCAGGGGCGTCTCCTAGACCGGGTGACACCCCGCCGTGTCATCATCACGCGTGGGCGGCCATCTGATTGATGCCTGCCGGCGGGCATCTTCCTGATGGACAACGGCAGAGAGAGGAGGGGATGTTCACCCGGCGGGATGAGGTATGCTGCCAGGTCCCCTCGTCTCTCCTGACATTGTCGGGCTCTCGCCCGAAGAGGGAGTGACACCTTTGTGAGTGTGCCATGATGCCTTTCTACTGTTCTACCCCTGCAATTGTGTCACCTGGGTGCGGGCCGCACCCCCTGCACGCCCCTTGTGACACCACTGGTATAAGGTCCACTTTGACTAGCAGATATAAACTGCCCAGAAGTTCATTGTCTTTCTGTTCCCGATGATTAAAAACTAACTAGCTGCTTACCGATTTCTGTTAAGCTCTCATTAAGAATTAAGACATCACAGCTTATACAGCAGTGTAAAATTGGCCAGCATCAGGGCAGTTTTATTAGGGATAATAGGCCTTATCTATGGGGATAGGTGGTGCATTGAGCGTGAGTAATATCATGTGAGACGGTTTAGGCCCTGTCAGCATCCTATCAACATCAAAAACAACAAAATCCACAAAAGAAATAAAAAGCCCTACATACAACACTTGAAACAAAAGCTCAATTATTTTTAAAGGAAAGCATTGAAAGAAATGGTGATATGTACCAATCCTCTGTACGGGACAAACACTGGAGCAATCAGCTGATCACTCCAGTGTTTGTAAATAACTGGGGACACATAGTACTATGTGTCCCCAGTTATGAAGGAACAGAATGTTATTTACATCAGTTCCTGTTCATTCATGAGTTTCTCAGTGGGGAGAAGCACTCTGTACAGAGGCTCCTCCCCATTCAGAAACTGCTTGATAGTAAATATTTTCTGAATGAATGGGAAGCCTCTGTGCTTTCCATTCATTTAGAATAGAGGCTGCAGAAAAAGAGATTGGGGACTTTGTGTCCTCAATTTCATTTTCTATTTTAAAAGGGAAATATCAGGGGGCTGTTTAGACCTTTAATATTTCCCCGAAGCCCCTCCCCAAGAGTAAAAAATAAAAAAATTAAAATTAAATAAGAAATAATAAAAATAAAATAAGAATAGTTAAAAAAATAAAAAAATCCTGGAGGCAGGGCACTGGGTGACATCACACGCCAGTTGGGGGGGGGGCACACGTTTTTTTTTTTGCCACGGGCGCAAAAGGAGCTGGCTACGGCTATGCTCCCACGGTGCTTGTGCGGCTGCCGGCTGAATGTTTCAGACACTGCAGATGGAAAGGGGCGGGACACCTCTCCCCATGTGCAACGTCGGCCACACGAGCACTGCTAGAGGACAGGACGCCTCTAGGACGCAATGGAATGTAAGCCGGCCGACTCCCTGCGTTCAGGGGCGGGAGGGGGTGTGGGGTTGTATTGAAGTCAATGGCACCGCAGCCATGCCCACAGTGCAATCGCCCGCACCCGAAACGCAGGCGCTTCTGCATTCTGGTCCAGTGCGATCTGCAAAAATAGTGCTTGCAGCATTTCTCCGGATCGCACTGGACTGGAACGCAGGCACTAATGTGCCTGGGTTCCGGGTGCAGGCGATCGCACTGTGCTTTGCCACTAACCGCCACTGCATTCACACACGTCTCCACTGACTGCCACTGTACCTACCGTCTACTATACATATAAGTGTGTTGCTGTGGGCAGGTAAGTGCTGCATCTGGCAGTCCGACCACCCTAGATTATAAATATGTTGTCTATGCCCTGGAAGCTACCTTTATATAATGCAATAGCTCACCATTTCTGCTCTTTGCTGAGCTGCTTTACCCTCAGCATAGACTTGGACAAGGCACAGAAGTGTTGGCAGGGGGTATAAAAGCTTTGCTTCCTATAGGTACATCACTAAAAGTTAGGGGTCTTCATTCAAATTCTTCCTAAAAATGTTAGAAAAAAACCCTCTGTAGAGGTACAAAAGTCTACTATGTAGTGTTTTTGCATGCCATGCCTGTAATTGCAATACCCCCTTTCCACTGAGCGAACAGTATGTTAAAAACAAAATTACTAAATCTTAAAAAGTTTTAACATGTTAATAAATGTGCTGTGTTTGTAAAAAAAGATTATTTATAATTTTTATTTAAAAGATTATTATTTTTTGATATTTGGGACTGGGGTTGTGCTGAGGTGTAATTCCTATTTACATCAATCTGGAAATGCTACGGTATTGCAGCTCTCTGAGAAGTATGGAGAAATCTTCACATTACACTTTGGACCCAAGAAGATGGTAGTGATCGCAGGGTACAATGCTGTGAAGGAGGCCCTTGTCAACCAAGCTGATGATTTTGGAGAAAGAGCAGATACACCACTTTTCAAACTCATGAGTAAAGAAAAAGGTGAGCTCCGAGTATATGTTTCATGCTAATATTTTGTATAGCACTGACTCCCTAGGGAGCTGCTGAGATGTTGGGTCCTCCTGCTCCCCCAGTGTAAATTCTGCCTTGAAAGGAAACCCAGACTCATTGACACACAGCTAGCATAAAGTGGGCTTTATTAAAATCAGAATTAAATCAGGTCCCCCCTTTCCTCCTCCTCTCCTGGCAAGCTGTCCATCAAAGGCCAGGGAGGGAGAGGTCAGTGTAAAACCCCAATTCGAAAAAAGTTAGGATGCTGTGTAAAATCTACCTAAAACCAGAATGCTATGATTTGCAAATCTCATAAACCCATATTTTATTCACAATAGAAAGTAGAACACATATCAAATGTTTAAACTGAGAAAATTTACCATTTAAAGAAAAATGCCATTGATTTAAAAATTACCTTATTTTTTTCTTAAAATTGTACATTTTCTTAGTTTGAACATTTAATACATTTTCTATTTTCTATTGTGAGTAAAATATGGGTTTATGAGATTTGCAAATCATTGCATTCTGTTTTTAGGTAGAGATTACACAGCGTCCCAACTTTTTTGCAATTGGGGTTATATTAGCAACACAGGTTGCTGCCTGGTCTCTCACTGCATAGTCTTAATGAGTTTCAAAAGCAAAGCAGTTACCCAAGTAACTGGATTTCATCTTTGAGCAGTAAAGTAAGTTTACTATCTGGTCACCGTACTTCAATAATGTCTCTTTGCCTTGTTAAATAAAGGCCGTAGTGCAAAATAATAAACTACATGCTATTATCTGTATTTTAGGTATAGTATTTAGTAATGGAGAACCTTGGAAAGCCATAAGAAGATTTGCACTGTCGACCCTTCGAGACTTTGGAATGGGGAAGAAAACAATGGAAGCCAGAATACAAGATGAATTAATTCCTCTTATAGAAAAAATCAAGTCACACAATGGTAACAGGTTCTTTTAAAATGTATGCCTTTATTGCAGGGGGAAATAGCAATTCTTAAAGCTGAACTCCAGGCAGATATAATATACACAAATGTATGCAGCTTATTATCATTTATACCTTAGTGCATGTGTTTTTTAAAATGTAAACATTAGGCATGGGCTCGATGTTCGAGTCGAGCGTGAGTTTGACTCGAACATCGTCAGTTTGTGTGTTCGGCGATTTTTTTCTTTATAGGTTCTATACATTGTACAGATGCGCCTCTTTACAGGGCAGGTTAAGGGGACACCCCCCGCAGGCACGATATTTAGAAGAATTTTTCATTTTTATTGTTTCACTTTAAGTGATGTTAAAATCACTGGTCCTTTAAAATTTGTATTTTTTAAAAGTGTTTTTTTCCATTGATACATATCCCCCAGGGCAGTACCTGAATCCCCATACACTTTTTATGTCCAATAACTTGCATATAAGCCTTCAAAATGGGGTCAATTGATTTTCAAAGTTCTACAGCCATAGACTTGCATTGAGTTCGAGTTCGATTCGAACCGAACAGGGGGTGTTCGGCTCATCACTAGTAAACAGTCTGTATGTAAATCAGCTGTACTGAGCCGGAGTGAATAGCCGAACATCGTTCGGCTCTGTTCACTTCGGCTCGGTTATTCATTCGGCTGCCTTCGGCAGCTTAGTGTATAAACCTGATAATCTTAATAAATGGGCTATTTATTTTCATCTTGTTTTTTTGTCAATATCATTGTGTGTTATTTTAATGAAAGCTGGACATTTAAAAAGGTTAAAAACTATTTTTCCAATGACATCAACATTTATGTGAGACTTTACTGATTGGGTTTAGATCTACTTTAGTAATTAGATTAGAACAGTATTTTTTTCTGTGCAGGCTTGAGATGAAGGGAAGAATCTAAGTCATCGCTTTAGAGAAATCAATATATGTATTTCGTGTACAAAAGTGTCAGTGTGCAGAAGTGTAATCATTACTGCGTAGTCACTAATTAGATTTAATCATCCCTATTGCCCTGAGACCCATGACTTTTCCTGAGTCTTTTCCATATAGGAAGCCATGTTTAGCTGATCCCATTGTGTAGTAGAAATATCGGTCTGCTTTTATGAGCAATTCACTGCAAATTCACCACGGCTTTTCTTTATATTTTATTTACCATGTTCTAGGGCAACCATTTGACACAGACCTCATAATAAACAGAGCAGTGTCTAATGTTATCTGCTCTGTCATTTTTGGAGAAAGGTTTGATTATGAAGATCCAGTATTTAAAAAACTTGTTCGAATTATTGGTGAAAATGAGAAACTGGCAGGCTCACCTAAGTTAATAGTAAGTATGATTTTTTATTTTTATGGTCAATAGGTGAGACCTGTTGTAACAATTATAGTTTTTAATTATTGTATGTCACAATTATATACACAACTGGTAAGAAGTGCTGGGTTCCTGTTCCTAGCTTTCAAAAGTGAATTGAACTAAATTGCTTAATACACAAGTACTTTACAAGTTTCTTTTAAACTGTGGCATATTCCACACAATGTTGTCTGCAGTGTCTACTGTATGTTGTACTAGATGCGGCCTTACCTTGGTGGGATCCTCATGGGGGGAGTGTTTAAAAGCCAGGCGCAAAAAAAGGGTGGGAAGCTACATGGGGTGCTGGATGTGTTTCAACAATTTTGTACACGCAAGTTCTAAAAATTACTAATTTGTCTCCACAGCTATTCAACTTTTTTCCTCGCATCTCAACCCTTCTTGGGTCACACAAAGAAATTATGCGGAATATAAATGAACTCATGGAGTTTGTTTCAAAGCGCATCAAACAACAGAGACAAGAGTTTGATACAAATGCTATCTCTGGATTTATTGATGCGTACCTTATGAAGCAGGTAAACGCTTCCCTTATCTAATATTTGCTGCTTTACAAAGCTCTCATTCTAATTCTGAATGAATGAACTTCATTTTACTAAGAGGTTTTGCTTCTCAATAAAGTCGCTTGGCTCATTCCAGATATTATCCTCTACATCTTCCAATTTCCATAGGGCACTCTCTTATATGAAGTCTCTTACATGGTAGTCTCTCTTTGACAGGGCAGTCTAGGGCTTGTTCACACCTAACCCAGTGCGTTCCAGCACGGTTAGTTGCTAGAACGCACTGCATTGCATAATTACAGCCGCCCTGCATTCTGGGGTGGGAGGGGGCATGGTGCATTCAAGTAAATTGCACAACAGCCACACCTCTCGGCCCGCAGTGCAATTGCAAAAAATAGTGCATGCAGTGTTTTATTAGGATATTCAGGATATTACAGGATATTTGATGACATGGCAGACTCTTTCTAACAGGGTAGATACATATTTTCACTTTCTTTCAAAATGTTGTCATATATGCTGATGAGCGCACACGACCCCACCTTCATTAAAAGGAGCTGAAAGCTGCCCAATCTAGGGTCCATTTCCATCTTTATTTATATAATGCAATGCCGCAGTATATATTTGCTCCATAAATAAAGATTTGTATCTTCGGGTGAAAACTTTTGGAGTGCGGCTATTTCTAGACTGGAGTGTTATGGGTGGCATCATGTCTGCCTGCACTTGGGATGCAATCGTAGTGCAAGCTGGTTCTGGAGGGTGAATGTGTGTTTGCTGTGGATTATTGCCTGCCAAACCTGCTCACATCATAGATTTCTTGCTTCTAAACCAATTTTATTTATTGTTTTAACAATTAATCAACTTATTAAAGGAAGGGACTGACATGACAGGCTGGTATTGTCCAAAATACATTTTTGTAATTTCTTTTTATTAGCAAAAAGTAGCCCAATAAGGTTAAAACCAGGGTGAGCACTCTTCATAGTCAATCTTCTTAGGGTTCATTATTATAGTCTGGCCAATTTTATTTTAAAATGTGTCCAGGAAATGTACAGGAAATATTACATTCACTCTTTAAAGTAGGACGGATGTTGATGGATTTTTCTTTTTCTCATCTGGTGAATGCATGTTGAATATGCTTAATAAAATAAATAGAACGTTCGCATGTGAATGTGCTGCTAATGGCTGTTCAACAGCAATGTACTGTGCAAAGTACAGTGTATTTTTGAAAAAAGGGAGATTATAAAGTGAAAAAAAGATTTTTTTAAAACTGAAATCAACAGTGTGAATTATTTGATGTTTTTGTTTTTAGGCATCAGGCAAATCTGAAATGTACTTTGATGATGAAAATCTGGTGTACTCAGTGTTGGATCTCTTTGCAGCTGGGACAGAAACAACATCTACAACACTACGCTGGGGCATTTTATTGATGATGAAGTATCCAGAAATACAAAGTAATGTTGTGGGTTTACAAATTTTCTAGGGGACATGTTTGCTTGACCATTTCTGCTTCACCTCTAGTTAAGACACAACAACATTTCCAAATATTTGGAAATATAAAAGGGTAGCCATTCTAATCAGTTTTAAACTCGCATCAAAGGAGAAAGGTGCGTGTGTGCAGGGCAAAATACAGAGCAATACAAAGGTTCCTTACTCTCATGGTAGTCAGCAAATCCCCTAACTAAACTGTTTCAACAACTCACATTCATTCATATGGCATGTATGCCCGTGCAGAGAGCCCATAGAGGTTCCTGGTTGAGTATCCTCGCTTTCACAATGACTTGCAGCAGGCCAGTAGAGTATACGGCCAGAGCTATAGCTAGCCTATTTTGCGCCCGAGGCAAGAACAGAAAATTGTGCCCCCAGCCCGATGTTTTTTTGAGGAAACTAAATAAATAACAAGGAATTAATGATAGCGCAGCAGTGTCAGTTCTCCCGCCAGATGTCGCTGCAGCAGCCGCGCCATCCCTAAATTTTACCATTGGGGGGTCACCACAACTTGGCAAATGTTACCAAGGGGTCCCGGCCCTATAAAGGTTGAGAACCACTGCTCTACTATGAGCTCATGTGCCGTGGTCACGGGTCCCCCAGAGGAGCGGGGGACCCCGAAAACCATGACGGGGTGGGCCCCTGGACACGATATCCGCTGCTCCTTTCATACAAGTCATCTGATCAGATCACTTGTACTAAACGAGCGGCGGCTCCCCACTGTACATTTAGCTCTGCTTGTCCAGAGCAGAACTAAATGTACAAAAAAACGACTCGCCCGGCGCCCGAAACTGCATGTCCCAGGCGTTGGGCGATGGGAATTCCACACCCCTGCCCCTGGGACTACAGCTCCCAGAAGGCTGATGCTCCACAGCTCCTTCCCACAGTGGTTGATATGGGGCGTAGTATTAAAGGAGAACTATGGGGTCAGGGCTTTTCCCTATAGTTCTCCTAAGGGCTTGTTCACACCAAGCGTGGAGCAGGTGCAGAGCGGAGCAGGTGCAGACCGGATCAAAATGATACAAAACACAAAAATTCCCCAGCCTCAGCCTGCCAGCCAGCCTGCAACCAAACAAGTAGCCCTGTCAACAGTATGCATTAAAATCAGAGGTTTTAGTCGCACAAACTTTTGGCCAAAAATATGTAGAAGCCACACTGCCGCGCCAAGGCACCTCTGCAAAGTGTGGTCCTAACTCTATGTATCCGAGTCTCCAAGTGTGAGCATATTAATAAAGTTGATAAGTTACATGCAGGTGTACCTGGAGGTAGCCAACTCCTCCTGATAAGGTGCAGGGACGCACTGGAGGCCCAGCAACCAAAAATGCACGCTGGGACTCCAGTGCGTCCCCCCTAACCCAAAATAGTCAAACTAGAAAAAATGGTACATGCATGAATCTATAACCGGCCTTTATAGCAGGGCGCACATTGGGAAGGCTTACAACAATACAAAACACAACAATTCCCCAGCCTCAGCCTGCCAGCCAGCCTGCAACCAAACAAGTAGCCCTGTCAACAGTATGCGTTAAAATCAGAGGTTTTAGTTGCACAAACTTTTGGCCAAAAATATGTAGAAGCCACACTGCCGCGCCAAGGCACCTCTGCAAAGTGTGGTCCTCTAGGGTACTCTAGGATCAAAACTGTGGAACGAAACCTGGCCAGCTCACTGTGTTTTGGGGTGGGAGGGGGGTGTAGCTGCGCATTGAAGTCAATGGCACCGCAGCCATGCCCCCTACCCACAGTGCAATAGCCGTCACCCGAATGCGTGACACATCAGTGCCTGTGTTCCGGTCCAGTGGGATCTGCAAAAAAAGTAGTGCATGCAGCATTTTGGCAGATCGCACTGGACCAGAACGCAGGCACTGATGTGCCACGCATTCGGGTGACGGCTATCGCACTGTGGGTGGGGGGCATGGCTGCGGTGCCATTGACTTCAATGCACTGCCATGCCCCCTCCCGCCCCAAAACAAAATGAGCCGGCCGGGTTGTGTTCCAGTGCGTTACAGAGTCTGAACGCACTGGAACGCACTCCTTATGGTGTGATTGGGCCCTTAAGGATGTAGGTGGGGTAGTTTGCGGGTGGGGGGGAGATATGGGGGGGGGGTAGGAGCATCATCAATTAGACATATTTTTAAAAAATAGTTTGGAGTCCATACTGTCCCCATTGAGCATCCCCCCCCACATAATTTTGACTATAATTTACATAATAGAGATAAAACTAATAGATTAGATACTAATGTGGAGGCAGGTACACAGGTGTCACACATATTACTATCAGTATATCGCTCCCCTTCTTCTCCATCACTTCTACAGTACAGAAGTGATGGAAAAGAAGGGGAGTGATATACTGACTGACTGTCATTGTCACAGCACAGTACCTGTCTGAAGGCTGCAGCTCTCCATCTCTGTCAGATTTGATTCCCGTCAGGGATCACCTCAGGTTGCCTGGGCTGGACTCCGCCTCCTGGGCCACACCTCCCTCGCTACGTCCTCTGCGTCCTTTGGCCGGCTCCCGAGTCCCTCTCTTCAGCTCTCACCGCTGGTAGCGTGAGAATGCTGCGGCACCGCTGGCTCCTCAGATCGGCGCTGGCCGCATGAGAAAGTCGCGGCACGGCGGCCGCAGGCAGAGGACACTTAATAAACTTTTGCCGCACTAAAAAATCTT